GTCTTAATTTTCAAGATTAAAGCCAACTGCTTTTAAAGTTCACATCACCGGCAAGACATATGCAAGGCCTCGGTAGGTTTGGCTTCATCCTTGATTCCTTGAAGCAGGGTTGTCATCCACACTGCCCTTGTCGCATGGGGTAAGAGAAATAAGTTTTTTGCATTTGTCAAGAGTTTTTGAAATTCCCGGTCATATTTGTCTAGGGCACGACCCGCTACTTCAAATCACCGAGTTCCCCCACCGGGTATTAGCCAGTGGCCCAAAATGTAACCAATAGTGTGAAGCAAAAGTAGTCTAGGTGAGGTCTGACATGTCGGTACGTAGTGGTGTACCCCTAACTGCCCCTCTCCGGACATGTGCAGGGGATCTGTTGACAACCATCATCTAAGCGCCGATTTTTGTGTAGCAAAGTATGGTCTTGTTACAGGAGAAATCAAATTTTGTGAGCTTCTGCTTGGAAGTATGCAGTCCGTCGCCTGAGTAGGAGTGGCTGTTGTTTGTAGGAAGGGCTATGTAGAGGAGCGAACCAAGTCCAGTTTTGCCATGATGGCATCAAACTTTGCTTCAGGGTTGCCAAACTGAGGTGGTTTACCTTTTAGGCTTTCAACCATGGCTTCCAACTGCTGCTGCATGGCTTGCATTGCTTTCAGATCGCCCATGATGAATAGAAACAGAATCAAGATGCACGTTCTTGGGTGTAACTTGAACTTCTCGTTATAGTCCGATGGTGCTGTTTGATCCTCTGATTTAGGAGGTAGACCTATGGTGATGAATATGTGTGGCTGAAAATAGTGGAAGCAAGAACACAAGCAATGAAGCAATAAACAAGATCTGGATAGTAGGGTTTTTATTAGGACCCTAACTACCTTTTTAATTATTTCCAAACTTGTGTATTCACAACTAAATGGGGGCTTGAATAGAGTATATATAACAAGAGACTTACACATTATCAATAATGATTCTTTTAGCTCCATTGGCAATAGAAGGAAAACATAAATGAAAGACATGTTTAGGAAAATAATTAAACACTTTCCAAATTCTGACAAGCTTCCTTCTCTGCATTTCTCGTGCAAGCTCCGCAGCCTCCTTGCGCGTGAGGTGAACGTATCATTAAAAAACTTTCTATGTTTCCATCTTATGGTCTTTTATGTTGAATACTTGAAAAACTTTTTTTGTCATTAATCTTATGAGGATGTCAATTTATCAATTGGTTTGAATTGATAGATCTGCACATAAGGAGATTTACTAATCAAAGGAACTGACATTGAACTGACTCTGACAACTTCATATCTTTATTCTTTACACTTTATTCATTCATAAATCATAAATTAGTGGATCATACCTTAAAATTCCTTGCAGCCGGTCGAACTGTTGGAAGGTCATTCAACTTTGGGAAGACTTATGTGGTGAAACCCAAAGGTAAACACCAGGCTACTGTAGTTTGGCTGCATGGTCTTGGAGACAACGGTTCTAGGTACGTCAATTTCTTTGCTTTAAGTGGGTGCCAATGAGATATTCTTTTACCTTCTGTGTATATCCCTCTTATGACTTTGCCTTATCTTGAGTGAGCCTTTTTTTATCTTGTTTTCAAAGGATACCAAATGCATCTTACCATGCTTGAATTCTTGTAAATTTTAATGGTACTTCTGTAAGTTATACAAATAAAATTCAATTTCATCTTCTTCATCTAAGTGTTACTGTGTTAGACAGAGCCAGATCAAAGCAAAATATAAGAATATTTATTGTTGTGAACTTATACAAGATTCTTTGTGTTCTTGAATATAAATAGAGAACAAACTGACAACTTTTACAAACCAACACACTTATTATAGACCAACACACCTATTATTATTACTTATTAGAAACTATCCATAACTGCTTTTAGAAACTACCCAACTGTTTTTTTTAAATTTATTAAATATGTAAAACACACTAAACGACACCATACTAACTGACCCGAACATTCACCCATTACCCATTCAGACATTCAGTTATATGTGAACAAACCCGATTAAATCTAACACTAAATGAAGAGGGCACCCCAAATTATGTCAAATTCTATATGTAATTTTTCCCAGCTATGAAGTTGTCAGTTAACTGTTTGCCTGTTTTGAATGTGCTCATCATCCACACAAACTGCCCAAACTTGAATTTGAATGCAGACGTAATCACATATTTTGAATTGATTTCCATTTTTTGGCAGCTGGTCCAGTCTTTTAGAGACCCTCCCTCTTCGAAATGTAAGGACTAGGGATCAGTTCCATTTATGTACTCACATTTACCTTTGTTGTATGGTTAAAAAATAGTTGGTTTTCATTATTGATGCATTTCACTCTAGATTGAAACTTCAACAGTCTGATTTTGTTTTCATTCCAATATTGTTATGCAGATTAAATGGATCTGTCCAACGGCCCCTGTGCTGCCAATATCTTTATTTGGAGGCTTCCCTTCAAATGCTTGTAAGTTGTTACTTTTCATTACAATCAGCTATTTCAGAAAATTATGATGTAGCTGTATAACCTGTATTTTACTGTCTTAAAAATGTTAGGAGAAGGAAAACTATGCAACTGAGAGCTGCAACTCCCTTCGTCCCTTTAATAAACTTCACATTTGCTTTTTGAATTCAAAATTTGTAAAATTTAACTTTCAATATTTTACTTTCATGTTATGAAAGTAAACTTGACAAATTTGTATTGATTTATATTTTCTAAATATTATTTTTCATAATTTTTAGTAATATATAAAAAATGATAATTTTGGTCAAAGTTGAACATTGGAGACGTCAAAAAGGAAAAATGAAGTTTATTTAGGGATGGATGGAGTACCATCTTGCCTGATGATGCAATCAAAATATGCTTATTGTGGTTGAATCAGGGTTTGATGTGAATGAACTTTCCGAAGACGCAATTGATGATATAGAGGGCCTGGATACTTCAGCATCATATGTGGCAAGCTTGTTGGCAACAGAGCCTTCTGATAGTGAGTTTTTACGTTTTGCAATTCTTTGAAAATGAATCACACTACCAAAGTTTTTTTTAGTTGTGTTGTGGCTATTACATCTGATTCATTGTACGATTAACAATTCTAGTATGTTTCCTGGGTTAATACCTATTTGGTTAAAAACAGTATTTCTCAAAGTGTAAGCATATGTTGCCATCTATTCAATTACCCATTTGACTTTTAGAAGCAGTTAGACTACAGTCTGTTCTCCAAATTTTGTAATGTGTGCATTTTGAACTCTTCCAAGAAGAGATACTACTTTTTGGGAGGCCAACATTGCATCTCCTCATTTGCATTTAGTAAATCCTTTTTTTGGCATTTGCAGTCAAACTTGGTGTCGGAGGCTTTAGCATGGGTGCTGCAACATCCCTTTATGCTGCAACATGTTACACCCATGGGAAATATGGGAACGGGAACCCATTCCCTTCCAACTTAAATGCGGTTGTTGGATTAAGTGGCTGGCTTCCCTGTGCAAAGTTTGAACCTTTCCCTTATATCTCTTCTACAAGCACTATATTTTTATTTTGCACATTATGCTATATTGACTGCTGTTATCTGGCAGGACACTAAGCAACAAATTAGCAGGGATAGAAGAGGCTGCAAGGCGTGCTGCTTCACTTCCAATCCTGCTATGTCATGGCAAAGGTTAACATCTATGGGATGTGGTTTGAGATCCTAATAATAATTGAATCAAATCCCTGACATATAAATGGAATTAAGCTATACTAGGTGTAACTGTGTAAGTGTAACTTCTTTCCATGCAATTCAATGCAGGAGATGAAGTTGTGGCTTACAAATTCGGGGAGAAGTCATCTGACAAGTTGAGTTCATCCGGGTTTCGAGATGTCACATTCAAACCATACAAAGAGTATGTGCTCTTTACACGTTTGTGATTGTGTTTAGGAAAAATTCACACCAATGCTCCCAGAATTGCACGAGTTTACATAAATACTCCGAGATTCAATAAATGACATCAATGCTCCCAAACTTTTCCTATATTCACATCGGTGCTTCGAGAATTGATATGTGTTTACATCAGTGCCCCAACATTTGGAGCATAGAAGTAAACAAAAATCAATTCTCGGAGCAACGTTGTGAATATAGGAAAATTTTGGGAGCATTAGTATCATTTAACAAATCTCAGAGTATTTATGTAAACTCGTGCAATTCTGGGAGTACTGGTGTGAATTTTTCCATGTGTTGATTCAAATCTCATAAATTTAGATGAACATCTACTAAGCTTTCTTTGGTGGACAGCCTTGGCCATCACACTATCACACAAGAGATGGATGACGTTTGTGCCTGGTTAACCTCTAAGCTTGGGCTGGAGGGATAACCAACCCCATTGCGTTAACGTTGGCTCTGTATCTGAAAGGACAAAATGGGTGGGTGACCTGAAGCTTGTGTTGCGGATGGCTTTTATCGTGGCGGGGTTGTATTTTGATAAATAATCCATTGCAAAGAGATGCTAATTTTTTCTCATATTATTTGACCGTCGTACGTGTCACGGCCATCTATCCCTTAGCGGGACTTTGGGAAAATGGTGTGATTTATTGATGAGCTACTCTTTTCCATTTTATATTGGACCAATATCATTTCATAAATTTGATTTGCTACATCTGCTACTTGTTCTTAATGGTAATCTTTGATTGGTGACTCTTGGTGAACATAGTTTTTTTATTTTACAAAACGTGATGAATGGTGTCCCTTTTTGTTTCAAGTTGGAATTTGGGGTTCCATTGGATTTTTAACTGAACCAACCTCTCATTTGGTGGTTTCGCAGCTTATACATTGACTAGCATGGCACACACTTTGTGTGTTAGTGCCCAAACTTGTTGTGTAAGTGCCCATACAAGTATTTGATATATATCATACCCATAGTATTTCATCAAAACGAAAGGAAGTGGTTTACAAAAAAATGAAGTGATCACCTACACTTCATTTATGATATGTGACTAACTTATGAGTTTAAACATAGGGATTATTTTACAAAAATTGAAGTGATCACTTGCACTTCATTTCTAATATGTACCAAACAGACAACGATTCCTACTTTGTTGGGATACATATATTTTGCAAGAACAGTAGGAATAGAGATTAAAGTCAAAAAAGTTTCCAAACTGTAGAAACATTAGCTAAGCCTTTTTTTGTGGACGTCCTCTTCAATCATCATCTTTCTCTTTAGAGTTGGTGTGCTTCTTTGCTTCTGAGAGACTGTAGAGGCTTAGTAGTGAGTACATGTTTGATGTATGTGTTTCATAAGTGTCTGAAGTTGGTTTGATGACCGAGACTGATTGAAGGGCCTTGTTCAGATTTAGAGAATTGATTGTCTACAGCGGTGTATTCCACTCAAGTGTCTTTAATATTTTCTGGAGCTCCTTGGTGAAGAGGGGACTTGTATAGGATCTCTGCCGTCATTTATTTCATCTGTCACTCTAAATCTGCGTTGATTTGCAGGGAGAAAGTGTTCGTATATCAGAAGACATTAAAGATCACAAGATAGTAATGTTTTGAAAGAATATGAAATTAGACTATTAACCTCTTTGTCGTGGACGCCTCTTTGTCCCCCACATTACATGCATTTAAAGGTGATACCTTCTCTGAAGTGCACTTTCCAAATACCGGTGCTGCATCCTATGTACAGTGTAATTGGTTCATTTTCTAGGAGTTGTATTTCACCTTAAACCCAGTACATGTGTTGCTGTGTAAAAGTGCTGAAATAATCATTTTCTGACACAAACATATGATAGGAACTCAAAAGATGACTATCGAAGAAATGTGTGTAGAACCTGATTTGATGTGTTGATGAGGTCCGAAATGCTTATTTTTTCAATGTCTGCTGGACTTACAAAACAAATAAAGGATCTTCAAATGGTTTTGTCTCCAAGGCATGTTGTATTGTGATAGCATTCAAACATTTCCTGGATTGCATATATTTGTTTATAAAAGTAATTTTAAAAAGTAATTAATTGTAAGAATATATACATATGTCTACCATTCTTCTAGAGATGCCGTAAGAGATATGGTTGGGTTCAGTTTGATTGATGAATGGTGAGCATTGTTAGTGACAGTTCTGTTTGTGTATGTAATAGAGAATCAGATTTTAAAAATATTTAGAATTTTAAAATGGAATGCATGTTTGTAAACACAACTCCGAAGTAAATCAATTCTAAAAATTTACACATCTTAAAGTGATAAAAAGAAACAAAATAAAGGAAGAGCAAAAGATTGTGAATGTACTCGTTTGCTATATTGTTACAATTTATAACCTGCATATCGCTAAATCTTGACAGCAATACTTATATTTATAAGCTAAATCTTGAGAAAGTAACTAAATACACTAAAGAATAGCTCCAAGTTCACGGATGGGCAAAATTAAAATAAAAGCAACATCAAAATCAAAATAAATAGCAACACATCACTCAAATGCTAACCAAAACAAAAAACAAGAGTTCCTCATATGGAGGGAGGCCAAGCAAACCCCCACTCCTCATTTGGGAGTTGATAACGGAGAGAATTTAATTGGAGCAGTTCTACATTCAGATTTTAAAAAGGATATTATACGTGTTTTAAAACTAAACAAATTGAAGCAAGGTGAAAAGCCATTAACAAATCTGTATATATAAAAATGCATTAAGCCTGAAGACAAACCAAAACTAAGAAGTGGAAAAAGACTAAATGTGATAAAGGAGTATTTGTGTGCATAACAAAGGTAGTGTTTACCTTGGAAGGAAGTTGACAGTATCCTTTTTGCGAGTATTGTTGAATAAGTACTTGATTTGAGTGCCTTTTCGATTTCACTGTCCTGAATGCTTGCGAATTTGTCCTACATTGTTAGACTGATTGGTTTGCATCTGCATGATCAGAACATTGTCAATGATGTGTGAAGGCATAAAGTCTGTAGGCAGAAGTTCAAGTTTGTAGGCATATGTCAAAGAGGAAAAGAGTTTCTTCAAAACCCAGTCCCCTACCTCAAAGGTCTGAGTAAAGTTTTCTTGTCGTGATATCTCTTGGCATGGCGCTGATACTCTTCCATTTTCATTGCCGCTTCATCTCTTATCTCTTGATGGAAATGGGCGTCCAGCTCCATCAATTGCTCATTGATGCTTGGATCGTATGCTTCCACTCTTGCGCTAGGAACCAAGACTTCTGTTGGGACTTTTGCCTCAAAACCATAGGTTAAGGCAATAGGAGTTTCTACAATGGCCCTCCTCAGGGTGGTTCTGTAGGCCCACACGACATATGACACCTCTTCCACCCAAGAAGTGCCTAACTCATGCAATCTTTTCTTGATGCCATCCTCAATTGTCCTTTTGGCATTCTCTACCTGTCCACTGCATTGGGGATAGGCCATGGCTGCTTGGCTAAGCTTGATTCTCCATGCAGCACAAAATTCCTTGAAACTTGTGCTAGCAAAATGAGTGCCATTATCCGTTATTATCTACTCAAGAACGCCGAACATGCATAACAAGTTCTTCCATACAAACTTTCTGCAATTTTCTTCCGTGATCATCACAAGGGCTTCCGTTTCAATCCATTTTGTGAGATAATCTATTCCCACAATGGCATATTTCTTCTTTCCCGATCTTTGGGTGAAGGGACCCACCAAATCCAACCCCCATCTAGCAAATGGAATAGCTATGGTGACAGGAGTATAGTAAGAGGATGGGGGTCCAGGGAGAGCAAAGGCTTGACAGGTGGGACACTTCTTTACCAATTCCAGTTCATCTTTTTTCAAAGTGGGCCAATAAAACCCTTGTAGTATCACTTTTCTTGCTAAAGTGAGGGCCCCGTGGTGGGCAGAACATACCCCTTGATGCACTTCTACTATTCTTGATGCTTCTCTCTCCTTAAGGCATTTGAGCATTGGTCCACCCAAGGTTATCTTGTATAATCTCAATCCAATTGATATTTTGGGGCCATCAATTGGACCCTACGAGCTTCCATGGGAACAACAGGAAGCTCTCCCTTCTCAAGATATATAGACATGGGGCTCATCCATGTTGTACCAGGATCGGATATCTTGAGAACATGCACCGCCTCCTTCCAAACAGGATCGATTTATTCATGTTCCCTCACCATGCTTTCCATATGGACAGGAACAATTCTACATAGCTTCGCAAGCATATCGGCTTACTCATTCTCTTCTCTAGGGAATAGATCGGCTCATAATATTCAAATTTCTCAAGAAAAGTCCTTGCACAATCCCTGTATTTCTTCAACCTTCTTTCTTTTGCCTCCATCTCTCCCTTCAATTGTCCAATACTATCGTTTGCCCTGCACTGTACACTGATTTTTGGCAGGAACACTGTTCCTGCTTATTTTTGCTTTGTATATAGTAAGATATACTAAGGTTCATAAGATCAATATGGACCTTAGGACCACGTAAAAATTTACTTAACTTCTTTTTTATTCATCGTCTCATCTGATTCATCGGCCAACTTGTTGTGTGTTCATGCAATACGCCTCTGTGAAGGCCGGCCCATAAAACCCATTCTTGACCCACATGTGTGCTGGCCCCTATTTATCACGGGCCATGCCAGCCCATACCTGAAAAATTCAAGCCCAATCTCGCTATTTAGTGGATTAGATTTGGCATCATGCCACATGCCGGAGCCGGTGACCCGGTCTTTTTGCAATATCTTTTATCGGGTATGGTAATGTCTAACAAGACATTCTAGTAGACACATGAGCAAACATATTTGTCTTCGTTTAAAAAAAAAAGGTCTTAGTTTTTTCTTTTTGATGAAGTTTATCAAATTGGGGAATTATGTTGTTTAGATTTGTGCAAAACAGAACCATATCAAGGATCATTTGGTGTTTTTCTTAAGATAGTGATAACTTTATTTTGAGACGTCAAAGATGAGAATATCATTTTGAATCCAAAGTACTTCGTCAGGCTGGCCTAATGATTTTTGAATACCCTGTGTTTTATACTGTCAGGTTATAGCCATAAAATGTCATTACTACTTAATGTAAGTAATGATCAATAAATATTACTCCTTTTTTAGGTTGAAAAATTATAGTTTAGTTGGTAAAAATTTAATACGAGCATTAATAAAGTCTTTCATCAAATTTTATGATATGAAGAGTGCAAATATGTAGATCTATAGATAATCTCAGTAATGAGCAGCCAGATTAAGCTTTGCCAAATAGGAAAAATTATTAACTTAATTACTAAACCCATCTTCTTAATTAACTCATCCCAGAGACATTATTTACATGACTTGATCACAACTCAGTATTAATTAACATACTGATGCTTCTTCCTGTAAGAGCTCTAATGTATGGACTTTCTCCCATTAATATAAAGAAGAATAAGCTTTCACCGGTTTAGTTAGAGACGGCGAGAGAGGGGTGTTCCCATTTGACTCGACGTTTGACTTCGGCTTCTTCTCCTCCTCGAGTTTACGTTGGCACGAAAGGACGAGCTCCTCGTCCATCTCCAATATCACTTTTCTCACATTTTGCGAGTGGCTCAGAATCGATTTGTTCCAATGGGTTTGGTAGTCCTTCTCTAAGGCCGACACTACGATCGGCATGATCACATCCTTGTTGTGCATCACAAGGTTAAGGATGTTGCCGTTGTTCCATAACGCGTGTGCTCGCTCAGCTACCTGCATACCAGATCAGAAATAACTTTAAATATTATTACAACCAGATCAGAACTAGTTATATCAGGCAAAGAGAACAAAACCCTTTGTAAGAAAAGAAGAAGAGAATATGTCAAGGAACCAACTCAACCAGAAGCTCAAGCTTGTGGTTGTGGCCCAGGAACAATTATTTATATTCTAACATGCCCCCTCACGTGCAGGAACCAACTCAACTAGAAGCTCAAGCTTGTGGTTGTGGCTCAGGAACAATTATTTATATTCTAACAGAATACCTGGAAATGGGAGCTATTAAGGCAACACCCAAAGCGCCTAAAGAGGGGCACCATGATCTTCTGGAACTCGGAGACGCTCATCATTTCGAGAAGCTCTTCGATCTCACTGATAAACATAAGTTCCTTTTGGCTATTCTTCACAGGCCAATATCTCAAAAGTCTTGCAACCAAAACGCTGGCCAGATTTGGCTCCTTCTCTACAAACTGCACAACGCAGTATACGAGCTGTTGGTGATAGACACCCAATGTCTTTGGCTTGTGCAAAGGTATCAAGGCCCTAGAGAAGAGCATCTTGTGCTCGTCTTTCAAAGGCAACGCAAAGCCGCTAATCACACTCCCCAAAACTTCTAAGAGTTCCGAAATCCCATTATGCCATTGTCTCTCGAAAACAAAGAAATAGAATATGTTACTCATTGCATTTCTTATAAAAGGCCTATGCATCATGAACTTCTCATAAAGCCGGTGGAGAACCAACTTTAGGCATTCTCTTTCCCTTGGGTCTTCAGAATCAAATAGATTGAGCAATTTCACTATGAACGATTGGTGTACATATTTCTTCGCTGCCTTGGGATCAAGAGAAGGTAGGCTTATGAATTGAAGCAGTAGATCGTACACAAGCTGTAAGTGATACCAGGCAGGATCAAATGATGGTTCTTCATCTTCACCCTCACCTCGGGCAGAACTGGAGGGGCACTTGGGAGGAAAGTCTCTAAACAAGTTGACAGCACACATTTTGCAAACTGCGGCTATGGCAGATTCGGAGCATTTAACAGATCCAGAAGTAACAAAATCGTTGAGCTCTACTAATACCTGCCTCTTCTGTTCTTTCTCTGCCGCGTCCTTGTCTGGATCGCTGAAATCAAACAATGAGCAGCAGAGGTTCAATTTGCTCAAGAAAAGGCCATGCCTCTCGCCGCTAGAAACATCCTTAAAACACACGCGGGGCCCAACAGACTCCCCACCACCAGGCACAATGTTTGCAGGGAATATTGCAGACGACACGCGTTTCACTACATTTAGCTGGTTTGCTAGGACATTGCAGCTGTTTGTGAACTGAAGCTCATCCCCGGAGTTGGTAGGGTTGATGCTGTTGCTGTGGGGTTTGGCCACAGACGAATCCTTTGAATTGGATTTCAACGACTTCCGAGGAATTTTTGCAAAGATTTGCTTAAGCATAGTAGCGATGCCCGATGACGCAGCTAAGAGTGATCCAATGCCTATATGAAGAGAAAGACATTAAATGAACCAATGATTGCATTCGTCTCAAACTAGCTAACAGAACTGTATGGATTGGTGAGACACATCAAGAACTTCCTCTTACTTTCTTGGGGTATACATTTTCAAGCTACACAATGGTGAACATCCAAAATTGCATTATAACTAATAAACCTAATGATTGCAGGCAACAAAGTCTAACCCACACTACTTAGGACACCAAAGATCTCTGAAATTCAACACCAGAGCTCAAAACAACAGCAAAAAGACTGCATAAACAAGCATATGAACACTAATCCCTACATGCCTACACGACGCAGGGAAAAAATCACAGATCCGTGACACAAACCAGAGAGAAACACTAAAAGAAAGAAAACCCAGATAATGAAATCCAGATTCAAGCCGAATTTCTTCTTCCTAAAGTGCAAAAAAGACACAAAGATGTCTCTTTTTTCAAGGAAATGAAGAAATTGCAGGGACACGAAAATAGTGAGTGGTTCACAACAAAACCTTGCAGGCAAGAAATTAAGCCGAAAAAAGCAACCACGCATGTATGAGAAGAGAGAGGGAGAGAGAAAATCAAACCTGTGTCAGTGTGGGTCTGGTTAGCGATGAGGAAAGAAGAAAAGGGCATTAAGATTCCTGGGGAGGGGAACTGGCAGAATGCCAAGAAGAAGGAAATGGGAAACACTACCCGTTGAAGTGGAGGGAGGGGGGGAAAGAGAGATGGAGAGAGTGCGCAATCACATCATAGTTTTGCTCCTTTTAGCATTGGATTGAAGACACAATGATGAGTGTGGAGGAGCCCATTCTCTCTTCTTTTTCCACTCTCCAGTCTCAAATACTCCTCGTGAATTAGTGAAGATGAAAAACAGGCAAAACAACGAGGCTTAAAGGAGTAACTTTTTTTTTCTTCCGTTGTTGAGTAAATCCTTGTACTGATTCATTTTTCGCCTGGTTTCGAAGAAGAGTGTTTTCTTGTGAAAATTAGAAAATTGTTTTTCCCAATGTTTCCGTCCGTTATTTTTCCTTTTTGGCCGCTCATGCTGACTATGCCACCGTTCTCCTTATCGCTTTACAAGAGTATTTTCTAGACTCTCCTACAAAAGCGTGACGAAACACCGTATTTTTCAGTTAAATATTCGCAACTGAGAGCGGTGCGCACTTCTATTGTTAGTAAGTAGATATACATTAACCTTATCCCGATCCCTTACGCTACTTGCGTACGCAAAGAGATAATGGGTCCATTTCGGTGACTACGTCAAAAGACTAAGTTTTAAAAAAAAAATCTCTTCAGATAAGAATACATAATTTAACTAAAATATCAAGAATTTACCTGGTTTAGGCATTCACGATAATGGGAAATGTGAATTTGGTGCCTCAATAAATATAATTGTTTTATACACCATAAAATAAATATAGATTTTAGTACCACCAAAGAATTTAAAACTAGGTTAAAGGTATCTTTCTTTAATTTTTGACTGCGTGAGTACTCGTGGAGACCGAGAGTCCGAGACTATAAATGGGTCATTAAGGTAGAATGGCATATTTATAAATAAGCCGAAAAAGGAGGTTCAGATTTGAGAATATATCCATGCGTCTTACGTGGAAGTGAAAATTACTCCCTCTCACCCATTTTTGAAGGGCCTATTTGAGCTTACAATATTTGATGAAGTATGTAAATGGTCCGTCCGTGAGTGTTTGTCCACTTTTGATTTTTGGAATTGTTCATTTAAGCACTTTGACTCATCAAATTTTCTCAATGTGTAAGCCTAAAAATAGTCATGTGTGATCTTGTTTGATTCGTCTTAACATATAGATTATTAATATATAATTTTTATAATTTTTTAATATACAAATTACAAGATAAAATGGATTAAAGAAGTGCATTGGATAATGTGCAAAAATGAAAGTGGACAAATACTCAGGGACGGAGGGAGTATTTTAAATTACATCAATTTTTTTTTTGAAATAAAAATTTACTGTATTATTTTATCAAATATATAATGAAAATAGTTAGAAAAGTGAATGAAATGCGATTATGTAAATTATATATTCCCTCCGTCCCAAAATATTTGTCACACTTGCTTTTTCAGTAGTAATCGCGAAACCTTTTATTTTTTTCTACGTTTTCATTGGTTATTTGATAAAATAAAATATTCTTAACACCTCTTATTTCGAAGAACTTTTCATGTAGTTTTTTGTTATGTAAATTTTATTTTTTATTTCTATACCAATATGTAAATAAAATTAATTGAAAAAAACTTGATATTTTACCTCGAGAATACAAGTGTGACAAATATTTAGGGACGAAGGGAGTATATATAGTATATGTAATTTAATTTGGGAGGGTTATAATTTTTTAGGTTTGACTCTCATGAACTTTCGGAAACATTGAAAAATGAAAAATGAGATTATAAACGGTTGAAAAGAGAAACTTTTTAACCACATATTTTTTTTAAGCAAATAACCACATATTTTTTAAAGTAAAGTAAAAGAGTATTTTAGAATAGAAAAAAATAATAATAAAAACTAGAAAAAAGACTAAAATAGGAATAAAGCATAGAGAAAATATCAAAATTTTATTTCCAAAATAGAAGATTCAATATCAATAATATCATTATATAGTACTACAAAATACTATGAAATGCAAATATATAATGTCTGTTAAAGAATATCCCACATCGGAACTTGAAGAGGAAATAAACCGGTATATAAGCTCTAGAGTTGAACTAACTAATCGATTGGATTCAATCTTTTAATGTGGTTCAACCCAAGTGTCTTATTACCCAATCCAGATGTTCATACCCCATTCCAAATTTTATCATGGTATCAGAGCAGGTTTTGGCCCACCTCGTTTGTCAAGGTGTCCGTCTAGACGTTCATTCCTAGCGGCCCGTTAGTCTTTAGCCCAGTTGTCCATATGGAGAATGTACCCAATGTCCTGTGGCCCGTTTAACACGATTGCTCGTCTCGAAGTTCATACCCAGCAGCTCGTGGTCCTTTAGGTGTTGGCGCTCAAAAGAAAGAAAAAAAATCAAGGGGATGTGAGTCCATTTGCAAGTGGTCAACCGGTTAGATTCAAAATGGCCCGGTTGTCCACTTGAGGGGGAGTGTTAAAGAGTATCCCACATCGGAACTTGAAGAGGAAATAAACCGGTATATAAGCTCTAGAGTTGAACTAACTAATCGATTGGATTCAATCTTTTAATGTGGTTCAACCCAAGTGTCTTATTACCCAATTCAGATGTTCATACCCCATCCCAAATTTTATCAATGTCACGGTATAAACTTTTGTTTTGAGATAAAAAGATATCACTTCTATTATAGAAATTTGGCAATAATGTATACATTTTCCTATTATTTTATAGATTTATTTAAAAATTATTCTAGGAAAAAGGGAATACAGAGTGTACAAAAACAATGATGCTATTGGCACACACCACGTTCGAACCTCACTTTGTACACCAAAGCTTTGCACTGATAGAAAATGCAAGTGACACACGGTATACTAACAGCGGTACACTTGCATTATGACAATGTTGCACTTGCATTTTTTGTTGATGCAAAGCTTTAGTGTACAACGTAGCGTGCAAGTAGCACAATCCGTATAAAAATAAAAAATTCTAGGAATACACCAAAAAATATTCTCTATTTATATATCACCAATCGCTCAACCAACTATTTTTTTGAGTCAATTCCATAGTTGGTCCTTTATAACAGGGAGGTTTCCATATTTAGTCGTCTATTATCAAATATTATTCCCGTAGTCCTTTTTTTATGGGTGTCTTTCCACAAATGGCCCTTTTTTTAATCTTTTGCCATGTTGGTGTGAATTTAATAACTAAAAGTATAATTTGACATCAACTTTATGTCCAATGACGTACTCTGATATTGGTTAGACGAGTAATACAAAAATAATAACTATGACTTTGAGCTAGGATTCCGATGAAAGACCACATCTGTAGACTATAGTTGTAGTAGAAAGCGACTGTAATTACAAACAATGCATCAGAAGCGGCCTTTGGAATTGTATATGACAAAAAAGATATATTATCATTTTGAAATTACATGTTTATCCCTCAGATTAACATCAACATGATAGAAGATAAAAAAGAACTATTTGTGGAAAGATACACATAAAAGAAGGACCACCGGAGTAATATTTGATAATAGAGGACTAAATAGGGAAACCCCTAATTATAAAGGACCAATTATGGAATTTACTCTTTTTTTCTATTTACACTCTTTTATCCAAATAAAAAAATGACCAACGAGAAAATTAGTGTGGTGTATAATTGAGATACACTTTTAATTTACCTATCTTTCATAAAAAATTGGGAGTACGGTGTAACCCCTTATTGCGTACACTTTTGGTCTACCTATCTTACATTTTAAAAAAAACGGTGTAGCCCCTTATTGCATCTATATAAAGGAAACTATAAGGCCCAATTTCTACCACCGAAAAGCAGAAACTCTTCTTCTCTTCTCCTCTCTCTCCAAACTCCAAAATTCAGCTCTTTCTTCTTAGCTACTCCATATTCCAAAGCATAAGAAAAAAATGGGGGAAAAAATGCAAGAATTTCAAATTTGATTAGCTTCTTATAAGGAAATAAACGACCGAAAAACCTAAAAATCTTAATTGGCTGCTCGCAATTTGGAGTCTCTCCGGTACATTTCCACCCATTTCATTCATTTACTCCGTATTATTCACTCACACTCACCTACGTCTATGGGTATGGATTTCTGTCCATTTTCATTTCCAATTTCTGCAATTTTGCTCCTGGGAATGGCGTGGCTGGACTGGCACTTTCTTGGGTTTCACGTAATGTGCGATTTTTGTTTTTTTTACTTTTTCTAGCAGAGTACGAGGTTCATTGTTTTGTTTTAAGGTTGGGTTTTCAGATTTGGGTTTTTTTGAAATTTTACATTACTGGAATGTGTTTTCTCATGAGCATTTCTGCTTCATTTAAAAAAAAAAGATTTGAATTTTTCTTAAAAGATACTTGAGTGGAATTTCATAAGGGCCCTTTTTTCTGCATGTGCACTTCTTTTCACATAAATTGACAATTTCCATCGTTGCTTGGGAAGATATAGTGCTTTAGTGCTCATAAATGACTATTGCTTGATATTTGTGTTAACTTTTTTTTGCGAGTTGGTCAATTCGTATGCTAAAAACTGAGATACGTTTGATGATTCTTCTTATAAAAAGTGGATGTTTTCATGTGTTTATAAACTTGTCATAACTAATTATAAGATGTTTTTAACTTATAAATCAAGCGATCATGTATTTCTTAAACTTATAAGCTATTTATAAATTAAAAAAATGAAGTCTTATCCACTTATTTTTGACTCAGTTCTTTCGTTTCTCCGTTTAACCAGATTATTTACAAAACTATCCTTTACCCCAAATGACATGTCTATCATTCAAGTTATTTTTACTTTCCCGAAAGAACATTTGAATTATAAGCAACTTATAAGGTAAAAACGGCTTATCGGAAATAAACCAATAAGCATCCGCAAGAGAAACACGCTCTAAGTTCTATTCTATTAAACCAATAACAAATTTCTTCAAGGAGTGGAAATTAAGCCTATTAAGTTTTGAAATATCTGTGTTTGGTTTTTTTAATTCAATATAATTTGGCTTATTGTGGATGGGCAACCTTATTGGTGAAATCCTTTTTGTTTCTAGCCATTCCTATTTTGCAATACTTTCTGAAAGCATAACCATTTAGAGTTGTATCTCTTCTCAACTTTGTTTACAAAATTTGTGTATACACGTTTTAAGGAGTATCTTTTGTGTTCCAAACATTATGCTTTTGAGGTTGAATATGATAAGAATACTTAAACCTGATGTATTATGCTAAACTTTCATTTCCCTAACTTGGGTCGAATTTGAGATTGTGTTGCAACTAAACAGAGTGGCTGGTGTGGGATATAATAACTTGATCATGGTTGCCACTGCTGCTACTGCTGCGTTTTTCCCGGGCACTCAAGTGGCCCTTGAATCTGGCGTCAAGACTGTTAGGTCAAAGTTTGGAGCAACTGTGTCTTCAAACAAAGTTTCTGAAAGCATTAAGTTAAGATCTTCTAGCTCTAGAAACGTGCAAGTCGTGGGCAATGCACAAGTGCCCACTAAGGTCAATGGAGCAGTTGTAGGTGTGATGGATGGCGTCGATAAAGATGATGATGAGTTGATGTCATCATCCCCCTCAAAGACATTTATCAATCAGCTGCCAGATTGGAGCATGCTCCTTGCTGCCATGACAACTATTTTTTTGGCTGCTGAGAAGCAGTGGATGATGTTAGATTGGAAGCCGAAGCGCCCTGACTATCTTATCGATGCATTTGGCTTGGGGAGAATCATGGAAGGTGGCTTTTTTCGTCAAACTTTCAGTATCAGGTCTTATGAAATAGGTGCTGATAAGACTGCATCAATAGAAGCAATGATGAATCATTTACAGGTATTTTATAGGCATTCATAAATGTTATGCTTGGCTGGGTTATTAAACTCAAGTACTTTTTAGGTGCAGGGCCTAGAAAGAGTGAAATGGTTTTACATAAATTCCGTATTATTTTGTCTTGAGTAGATATTGATTCATTCAAGCTGCAGGAAACGGCCCTGAACCATGTGAAGACGGCAGGAATCATGAGTGATGGGTTTGGCACAACTCAAGCAATGTGCAAGAAAAAATTGATTTGGGTAGTCAGTAAAATGCAGGTTCTCATGGATCGCTATCCTGTTTGGTAGGTTTTTCTCTTCTACTCTACTTACACGCGTTGCATGAGTGGACTTCTATATTGTTGGAATATAAAAACCTTTCTTCGGCCTACAACTACAAGCATGTGCTACTAGAGCCATGTTGATCAAGACGTCACGAGTTCGCAACTCACCGCCACCTTTTTTTATAAAAAAAAATTAAGGTTTCACGTGCATGGTTCGAAGCGACCACACATGCACGTGAGGGGGCGTGTTAGAATATAAAAACCTTTCGTGGGTCGAGTATTTAGTAATCTCCCTGCTTATTCATTCAGTGTTTTTTACTCACTTTTCACTTGTGATCGGAGGATTGCTAGGACAATTATGAGGACCTTAAATCTGAGCTTTACTTTACTTTGGAACAGGGGTGATCTTGTTCAAGTAGATACTTGGGTTTGTGCAGCAGGAAAACATGGTATGCGGCGTGATTGGGTTTTCAGTGATTCTCATACTGGAGAAACTTTAATGAGAGCTACCAGGTAGGAAACTGTTCTGTGTTTACTCTGGATTCCTTATTTCAAAATTATTTAATACCCTGAAATTGATAAGGGCATGATTGTTAATTTGTTTTTTCAACTACTGATTACTTTTTTTTGGGCTTTCAGCGTGTGGGTTATGATGAGCCAAGAGACAAGGAGGTTAGCAAAAATGCCCGATGATGTTCGAGCTGAAATTGAAAGGCATTTTGTGGATAGGGAACCAATAATTGACGATGATAAACGGAAATTGCCAAAGCTTAACAAAGAGACAGCAGACTGCATTCTTGCTGGCCTAACCGTGCGTTTATATTGGTTCCTTTTTGCCCTCCCGTGTCGCGTTGTGTTGTTTTTATTTTAGTGATGTGCCGTTCTTTGCTAACCTTGCAGCCAAAGTGGAGTGATTTGGATGTGAACCAGCATGTAAATAATGTGAAGTATGTTGGCTGGATGCTGGAGGTACATATTGTTCTTCTTGAAGCTGTTTCTGTAAATCATGCCCTTCGGACCTCAGGGTGTAGGGTACCCCTCGATCGGTTGTAGGGTACCCCATCTTCCATTTTCAACATTCTGTATCGGTGCTAATTACGGGAACGCCACTTTTTTTTTTCTTTCTTGCAGAGTGTCCCATTGTCAATACTGGAGAACAATGAGCTGGCTGCCATGACCTTGGAGTACAGGAGGGAGTGCGGGAGGGACAGTGTCCTAGAATCTATGACCTCTGTTTTGGGAAATATCTCCGACTCCGTGGAATGCCAACATTTGCTTTGCCTTGACAACGGTGAAGAAATCGTTAAAGGACGAACCATGTGGACTCCAAAACTTGCAAAGAAGACTGGGACCGTGGACCAGCTCGAAGGGCAAAGTCACTAGCTCAGTGCTTCCCTGCCCCTTCATTTATGGGTCATGATTCCCCTCTGTTCCGTTCTGTTCTTCTCATAGGGTACCCCCCCTCCCCCCCTCCCCCCCTTATGTATCAGCGTCTTTCATCCTTGTGTTGTATCTTGCAATATATAGGCGTTTATATGTATAGTGATATGGACTTTGTGTTTCATTTATTATTTTATTTCATTAAATATTGCCTATAGGGCATTAGCCCTCCAAATAATTCAGCCGTGTACCCCTATTAATGGTGTTGAAATGGTGTTAAAATTCAACCCATCTCTTTGTTTCCATACCATCTCCTCCACTCCAACCAAACACGTCCTTAGAAGTTGTACAAAAGCTCTTTGAATTTATTGCATGCAGATTTTGGGAGGCAAATGCATACAAGCATTGTCCCATCACAATCTTCCCTCCCTTCTGGCAAGAACACACAGACTTGTGGGGTTGGAGTCAGGTCTATTGGGCCGGCATAAATGGGCCTTCCCCAACCGAAGTCCGCGGATTCGTATAACGAAAATCTGGTCCATTGGGTTATCGTCAACTTCCCTCCAAACTCAAGCTTCTTAGGCCTGTCCACTTCAATGTAGTCAATTGTGGACCTTAGGTACTCCTCTGAGACCGCCAACCTGGCCTCCCGAACCAACCGGGCCGTGTGTGCCAGAGGCCCATTAAGAAGCCCAATCACACTACTTGTGGCACACGCCACACCCAACGCGTTGCCGTAAAACCCTTCCCTCAACGGTGGGTTCTTAAGCTTCTGGCGTGCATTGACGGCAAATGTAAGCCGAAGCCCGTAGTCGCGGGGCTTCACGTCGAGGGCCCGGACCCACGACCGCCATATATGAGCCGCCATGGCATCAAATGTGGTCAACAACGAATCCCCAGCCAGGCTTTTAACCAAAGCCTGGTACTCTCGGGTAACCCGAAAACACTTTTGGGCGGGCTTTGTCTCCCAAAGACTCCTAGTCAAACTCGACTCGTCGTCGGTTCTCCTGAACTCTAGATGCGGGTATTCGACCCTCGGTGGGTCCCGCGCCCGGAAAAACTCTCTGTCCCAACAGGGGTTGGGCCTTAGAATGACAGAACCTTCTCTAGCAGTGGTAGCCCATGCATTAAGAAACTGCATGGCCCCAATGCCATCACAAAGGCAATGGCACATCCTTAGCCCAAGACTGAGCCCACCACATCTGAATTGTGTCACTTGTGCAATCAGCAAAGGCATATCAATCACTTTGTAGTGTTCCTCACTTGGGAAGCTGTAGATCAGAGCCTTCCAATCAGGATTTGGCACAGTGAGATCTCCAAGACTCCCCAAACTCATTTCTGAATGTGCCTCAACCAGAACAGCCCCTTGGTTTGGTTCGAAAAACACTTCTAGTTTCCCGTTTCCAGACTCCCGTAACCTACCCGAAAAAGGATAGTAAGGGACTAGTACCCTTGCAAGGGCATCTTCAAGGGTTTTCGTCACCGGTTTCGGGTCACTTGGTGGCCGGTAAAAGTACACGGTTGGGGTAAAGACGCGGACCCCCACCATATCATCGAGGTTTGAGAGGTATAGGGTATCCCCATGGCCTACCGGAATGGGGCCTGCTGGTAGGACAGGGGATACCCTATCGATGGTTATGGGGATCTCAAGGCCGGGGAAATGCAGTTCTTCAACCCTTGGAGTCATGATGAAGGAACAACTATATTTGTATGAAGTGGAAGTGAGAGTAATTAAGAAGATTGAAGTTTAAAATAATTTAGTAAACATTTCAAGTATTTAATGGTGTTTGAGGGACACTTAATGCATGGGGCTTTCATGGTAATCATGTTTCTTGAATTGAACATTATAAAATAATCAAATGCTGATCCAGGTTGGTCATTTCTGTTGTGCTTTCTTTGTTTTCTTGATTGAGGATAAAATAAAATGCATAAGGCATGCATGAGCTAATACACCATGGTCAAATCTCAATAGTGTCTTTTTAAGAAATGCAGAAATAAGTATCAATGTTGTGTGAGGACATCTTTTTAATAAAATTCACAATAATTTTTTTGTTGCTGAAAATCTGGAAACCACCGTCTAATGGGATTTGGAATCCAATCCAAAATAACCATAACTCAAAAGAATCAAACTCAGCCTGATTGATTTTTCATTTTTCTTGCCGGCTTTACCAAAATATCTTCGGATTTTATAAAATACGGCCTACTATGTGTTAAACATTTGGCATATGGATGCGTACGTGTTGTAAACATTTTCTATATTTAAAATAAGTTATATTATATTATATTATATGTTTATATAAAAAATACAATTGACATCAAATCAACACATGTTTATCGAATGTAAATTAACAAAAAGCAAACAAAATTTTAAATTAAATATTTACAATAAAATTTGTCAATTTTGAATCTATATATATACATATATATAATATTTATTTGAAAAAAATAAACAAATCCTTGTTTGACTTTGATGTAGTTTAAGAAAATGATATAAAATTAAAACTTTAGAGTTTGAATTTGTATAGAAAAGAATGAAGCTAAGAATTGTGTTTGGCTTTCTTCTCTTATTTTTCCATTTACAATTTTACATTTTAGTTTTTTCGTAAAATCCAAATACAATGTTACACTAACTTAAAACAAAAAATCTAATTTAAAACAAAAAAATATACGGAAAGCCATTACCAAGAACTGCTCGGGAACCGAATTGAACCAAGACCGCTGGACACCGGTGCTGGTGCCCGGTCCTCTCTGATATTGCAAACTGGCGATTCCAAAACTAGAGTCGGGCTAGACTGATGCTATGTCCACGCCTATTTAGGCACGGTTAAGAGGATGGGTACCGGGCTGCTGGCTTGTTAGTTCAGTCCAACCCGACAAACCCACAATTTGCCGGCTCTGAACCGCCAGTCCCGACAAATTTGAGAATAAGTCACCCGAATTTCAGGAATTTTCTTCGTAGGTAAAAATTTCAAATCGTACCATCATCTTTGGGCCGCTGATGTTTCAAGGGTGTTAATTGTTTGGAGATAAACTACCCTCACCAAAGCACAAAACACAAAACACCCATTTCTGTCTTCGTTAGAAGTGTATCACAGCCATGCCACTTTTTGCACCCCTATTGACCACTTGAGCTATGCACCCGAGTAGTCAAATATAAAACATTTTACGGTGGCACTATTTTTTTAGGAACGGTGGCACTAATTTAAAGCTGCATCATTAATATGTGAATGGCCAATATCAATTGAACCAAAACCATATGTTTATAGAGCATTTTACATGGTGAACAAGAAAAGAGGAGAGGAGGGGGGGGTATGCACATTCTTTGCAATTGAGGCCAAAGAGAAAAATATGATGTGTATGTTCTTTGCAACTGAAGCCATAAAATAGAGGGACTTTACCGCAATGGCTGTTGGTTGAAGTGGTTCTTCTCTTTCTTCTTAGCAGCACCAGCTACCTTTGCCCTCCTAGCAGCAGCCTCACTAGCGGCAGCTTTGACAGCAGCATCCATCTCTTTGCTTGACTTCTTTTTCCTCACGGACTGTACTTTCTTGATCTTCTTCTTCACATCAACACCCACAGCATCTTCAGCTTCCTCTTTCTCAGTCCCATTTTTGTCGTCGACAACCTCAACACTGTTTCGTTGCTCTTTGGCCTCCTTCGGTTTCTTTTTCTTCTTTTTTGCATTCTTGCTCTCACCACCACCACCACCATTATCATTCCCATTCATCTTTCCATTCTCATTCCCTGCTATCATATCATGTGTAACACCTGCAAGGTCAACAGGTGACGAAGCTACTCAGAGAACATAGGGACTGTACTTCATCCGTCCCAAAATCATCTTCTTATTTGACTTTTCAAGGTTTTCAATGTCACACAATGACCATAATTGTACATAAACAAATACGATAAAAACAAACAACCTCTATCCCAATGTGTTTTTATGGTTTGACATTTTATAGTCAAATTGGACAACCAACAACCTCTGATCATCAATTAAATAAAAATTGCATGACATATTAGTACCCAAATGATTTTATTAGATTTATCTTGTAACATAATTTCAAAATATTATTTTATTTTACTAAAATACAATGTAATATTTATTGAATTGATGATCAAAGTTTGTTTAGCTTGATTGTAAAAAAGTCAAAATGGACAAACAAACTGGAACATAGGGAGTAATATTTGAAAATTACATTTCAAGAATCAAGATGAATATATTTTGACATTAAGTCCATACTACAATTAAAGGTGTGATCCGGAACAACAAAGAAAAAGGTGTGAAAATGGATTAGTACTTCCTGGAAGAATAAAGAACTTAGATAACCTGGTGCACCATCCATTTCCTCAGGTTGGTTGCACCCAAATTCTGCAAGCATAGCTTCAAGTTCTTCGAGTTCCTTCTTTTCAATTTCTTTTTGGAAAGCTGTCTTTGTGATTCTTTAGGTGCCAAAACTACAACAGATGCTTTGACAATAGGCTCCTCCTCTGTCGGTACTTCTTGCTCATGATCTTGATCTTGCTCAATATCCTCATCCACTTCGTCAAGGCCTTCATCCTCAGTTTCACACTCCTGATATTCAAAAGTACTAAGTATAATCATTCGAACATATTAAGACATAAAGAGCACACCATTCCGTTGCATAATATGTTCATCATGATTGCACTCTGTGATCATTTGCTTAGTATATCATGTTTATCGTATACCAATTTCATTTGAAATGAAATGATACATGATACAATAATCATAGAGGCTCGAGCATGTGGAACAGCTAGTCTTGACGTGTGATTTTGTGAACAATATGTGTTTTGAACTCATTAAATGTGAATAAATACATGGGGATAATGCAGGCAAACTGATCATTCTAAACAACTGAATAGAAAAATGAAAAAAATAAATAAATCAAACGGGTAATATTGTCCTTCATTATATGACGTAAACCGTAATTAAAAAAACTGTTAACAATTAACACTAGAAAATTACTGTATATTACAAGTTACATATGTTGTGTTCTTATGTAAAGATAAGATTATTTACTCATAATCATTATTGGTTAGTTAAAGCATCATTCAGATTCTATCTGTTTGCCAGTGAGTGTGGACTACTTGCAAACATTGAACAATTGATAATATAACAGGAAGAACATAAAGATAGAAAAAAATAAATTATAACAGTGGATTGTTGTGAAACAATGGCTTGAATATAAGTTCGATTGTTCTTGAACCCAGTAGTTGTACACGAAAGAGGAAGATCAACGAGTTCTCATCTTCCATTTTGTTCTTTGGCACAAGCTTGTTTTCACTTATCTCGGGCATTATTCCTCCTTAACGCAGCTCACTTCAGACAGCAGATGGCAGTATAGACGCGCTCCGGTCGAGGAAGGGCAGGTAGATAGAAGATCGAATAGGATTGGATGATGATAGGTTTCAGTGGAATATGTGAACGGAGATTAAATTAGGGTTTGAATGAGAAATGAGAAGACGGAGAAGAAGGAATAGAAATATGGAGAGTTTCTGCGGAATCGGAGGCGATGGGCAGTGGACGTGGACAGCGGATTTCTGGCCTGAATTTTGTTCAATCATTTCTACACTTTCGGTCTTTCGCCTTGTTTGGCAAACTGCATAGGCCTCGTTGGCAAATCATAAAATGTTCACTTAGAGCATAGTGTAAATTTTGATTGTGTAAACCCTCTTTTACACTATGAACAGTGTTTTACACTAAGTTTTTTTATATTCAATCCAACCATATCTTCTAAAAAATATAATTTTATGCTCCGTAATATTTAATTCATGCTAATTTTTAATCTGAAAACAAATCCATCAATGGCGAAGTCCAAATCGAAGAAGACGAATAGTGGAGAAGTTTAGATCGAAGAAGTTTGAGCTGTAGTTTTCTCTTGTGCGGCGCTTTAGTTGATTCAGCTCCATACGTTGGTGGAGAATGAAAAGGTTTCCAAATCTGTATGTTCTTCAAATTTGGAGATTCTTCGTGTGGGAGATGGAACAGAGAACAAATAGAATGGTAAAAGTTTTTCCATTTTGCTACAGTAACTCTTATATTTGGCAGCTCTGAATGGTAAAATGGACTACGGTGTATATTTTAAGAGATGCGCGGGAGAGTTCTTTTTTGAACAGTAAAGGGCATATTTTCTATTTTTTAACAGTTACTCAATTTTACACTCCCGGTTGGAGTTGCTCTTAGAGCAACTACAGCACATAGTGTATATGCTTAAATATACACTTTTTGCCATTTACTATTTATATTTTCCTTTTCCAATGCATTGTGTATACCTAATGGTAAAATGCACCATAGTGCAAAATACCACTCCCACCTTCTATTTATACAAGATCACTGTTACTCATCATTTTCCTCTCTTTTTTTTATTTCTCTTTCTTCTCAATTTGCTTCACATTCGTTCTTTTGTTAATCCATTTCTTCATTTATTGTGAGTTAATTCTATTTCTTTTACATATTGTAATTTTATTCATAAGTGACATTTTCCATTCTAATAATTAAACTATGAATTAAAATAAGTATTATGAATAAATAATTTAGAATAATAAAAAAAATTAAAAAAGTGTATTATATAGAAGATATGATTGGAGTAGTTATTAAAAATTGGGTGTGTATAACATTGTTGATAGTGTAAAATTGATTTTACACTACCACTTTATACCCTATGCACTGGAGATGCTCTTAGAGCCTCTCTAATGGATATGCTAAAAATTAGAAAGCTAAATGCTATTTTACCTTCCCAATAGTGATTTAGCATTCTACTTTTCCACCATCTCTCCAACCATATCATTTATTTTTTAAATTTTTATAATATTTTAGAATTATTTTACATTAATATTTTTCCCCCAAATTTTGTATAGCAAACACAACTCTGAGTTATGTTTAATACGGAACAAGGAGATGACCCACAAAATTATGAATCAGCCCTCAATTTTGAATCAATTATACAAAAAATCGAATAAAAAATGAGAATGTGATCGGAAATTTTAACTAAAAAATAGCTCTCTGATGTTAGTGTAAAACGAAACTCAAATCAATACAGATAAAAGAAAATTTGATGAAAGTAGTAATACATGTGAAATTGGCGGTGACCCTGTATATAACTAAGGTTGAAGAAGCAGTATAATTTATTACTCCCTCGTCCCTTAGCTTCGTTCTAAAAAAGAGTTCCTAGTTTGACTAAGTGTAAAAATAAGAAAACGTCAAATTTTAGCTGACTTTCAATTTTGCCCTTGATTTGATAGGTAAAATAAGATGTGAGGAATAAATTATTAGAGAAAATGTATAATGTGATAGATATGGTATAAAAAAGTAAGGATAAAAGTAGTTTTTAATAGAAAATGGAAGTGTTTTGTTGGAAGTAGAAAAAATGAAAGAAGAAATGTTTTTGACAACGGAAAGAGTAATACGGAGTATTTTTTTTTTGAAAACATAATACGGAGTATTTTATTTATAGCATATGAATAATGATCATCTATATATAGAGGATGTAAAGTTAAAAATAACTAATGCTCTAAAATTTAAATGATCCATTCGAGCTCTACTTTATCTACAGTAAAGTGTAAACCATTTATTTTTTAGACTATAAAAGGTGCATTTGAGTTGCTCTTATAGGTTGAGGATAGCAATATAAATTTTCAATTATAACACTAACAGATAACCGTTCAAATCCTTAGAGTAAAGACTATTTTTACAAGATAATTTCAAAACGAAATTAGTGCATTCGAATTCTTTTTTAGGTGTAACATTTAGGTATTGCTCTTCCATCGTTGGTTTTGTGGGGCTTTGTGGATGGTATTTTTCCAATGGAAAATAACACGTCGTTTGGCTGCGTGCTTTTTTATCTGAGTGGGATCTACTTGGCAGCTGCAAATGGTAAGAAGAGGGGAGCACATGATCCATTTATGGCGGACCTATGGTCCATTCCTATTATATGGACCTTATTGATGTAGACTCTTTAGTATTTATATTATTATTATGATTAAGATTAAAATTAAGATTAGGATTAGGGGATTAGAATTATAACTAGGATTAGGATTAACATTAGGGGATTAAAATTTCAGGGATTAGGACTAAGATTAGGGTTAGGATTAAGATTAGGATTAAGATTAATATTAGACACATTAGCTTAGGTGAAATGGACATTTTTCCACATTAACTTCCAAACTCAACAACTTTTGTGAAAGTCCATAAATTAGACGTGAATCTTAGGTGCATGGAATCACCACTCTACTTCCCCTTGGACTCCGCTACGCAATTTGAAATGTTATTGAACGATCGTGCACTCCGCATTATCTAATTCTTGTTCGATCTAAATAAATTTAATTATACAAAGTAACTGATAGTACTAAAATCACCTAGAACATAGCAAATGCACAACCTAGTATTCTTGTGCACGTTAATGCATCGTAGGATTACTTAAAAAAATATGATCTAAGGAGTTTATAATAGGGTAATTCGTAAAAGAAAATGATAAATTTCTTTTAGAATGCCGCACATATCGACACACATATCCCACATAAATTTACTTCTAATCTCCATGGTCTTGCATTAGATTGATGAACACAAATTCTTTACATTAATTTTAAATTTAAAAAAAAATTAAAAGAAATAAATTTCAGCAATTCAAAGTTGGTATCTAGCTCAGACCAGTCAAGACACAAGAAGCAAAAAGACTATGCAGCCCTCAGCAATGGCCAGCAAAATGTACAAAAGCCTCTTGTGCAGGAGCATCACAGAGTGGGCTTCAGTGATCATCACTGGGAAGAGACACTCCTCGTCTGATGGGTCCACGTCCGTGACAACCGCCAGCCCAGAGAAGTCACAATCCCACTCATTTTGGTTCTTGAACTGATAGTACATGTTGAAGGCATACGAAGCGTTCCCTCGCGCACTCAGGTGATTGCACGAGGACCCGTACTCCAACGCCGTGCAGTCCGAGAGACTGCACGCGTAGTCCACGTTCCTTGCCAGCTCATCGTCATTCGATATTTCTTCAACCTCCGGGTTCAAAATGCACCATCTCTTGTGCATGTACACCACCCCTTCTACTGCCACAAGCCCTTTGTTTTTTGCCCCCTTACCCGATAAGTCCAGCTCGTATTTTGGCTTCCCATCGAACTCGAAAATCCCCCAATGCCTCTCGAAGCTCCCGGGAGCGATGCTCTTTGCATTCTCATCGATGAGGCTGAAGAGGTAGAAATCAATTTGTCCCTTCCTGAATTTAATAAAGGAAAAATAAATTAATACTACGTATGTTACTAATGCATAATAATAAACTCAATCAATTCCGTCATATCTCTTACAACATATTTTTTCATTTCAATTTAAATTGTGTGTTTACTATTGACGGGATCAAAACTCAACCATGTTCTTTACCCATTATCGTTACCACTTTTATGAAATAATATTCTGTATAGTCTTGTCACTTTTTGTTTTGTACTCTGTATCTTCTTCGTCCCATAAAACTTCTCAAAAACGAAAAACGGTTATCCTAAAAATTAGTAATTTTGATATTATTTTCTAATGATAACTCATTTATCCTATACATTATATCTTACCTTATCATAAACTAAAAACAAAATTAAAAACTAATACGGAGTATCAAATTTATACTCCCTCCGTTCCACAAAACCCTTCCGGTTTTGACTTTGGGAAAAAATAAGGAAAGTGTAATTTTGGTTGACTTTCCAATTTTGCCCCTGATGTGATGGAAAAAAGTAAGATGTGATAGTTTGATTATTAGTGAAAAAGTATGATGTGATAGGTAGGGTATGAAAAAGTAGGGGTAAAAGTGGTTTTTAATAGAAAGTGGAAGTGTTTTATGGAAAACAAAAAAAACGAAAGAGGAATGGTTTTGTGGAACGGAGGGAGTACATTTTTAAGAACCTTGTTTCATCTTTGAAAAGTTTTATGAGCCGGAAGAAATGGAATTTTTTATATTATTTTTAAAAATATTTTTTTTTTAAATTACAAATCAATTTTCAAATAAATAAAATTCAATCAAACTTTGCAAACAACAGGACGCAATTTGATTTAGAATGGAGCTAGGTAGTACCTGATTGGGGTCCCTTCCCCGCTCAAAGCATGACGGATTAGCCCCTGGTTGAACCGCATCGCGTTTTGGGCATTCGCATTTTCGTCCCCGTCTGTGGGCCACCCGACTTCCCCGATCACGACCTTCGTGTTGGGGTACCCCGCCTTCCTTAGCGCCCAAATGAGAGTGTCGAGGTTGGCGTCGAACACGTTGGTGTAAACCGCAATGCCGCCGTCCCGGACGGGCTTGCTCAACCCGTCGAAAAACGCAAACTCGACGGGAAAGTAGGCGTTGCTGTAGAGGCTGAGGAAGGGGTAGATGTTGACGACGAATGGGGCGCCGTTCTGGGTCAGGTATTGGACGACCTGGATTGTGATGTCGCGTATTTCGGGCCGGAAATCTCCGGCGGACGGGACGGGGTTTGAGTCCGGAGAGAAGTAAATGTCGGCATTGAAGGGGACGGTGGCCTTCACCTCTGTCCCTAGCCCGGCTTGGTTTATGGCTTCTTGAATGTTTCTCAGCGCCGGCAATGTGTAAGAGACAAAGCTCCCATTGTATGTCTTGAGAAATGGCTCATTTCCAACTGCAACATACCTGCCAAACTATATAACATTACCCTCCTTCCCTTTCGAAAAACACTTCTCATTTTGACTATTGATGGAATAAGGACAATATATTTTGTGATTGACTTTCTAATCTTATCCTTGATATAACGATAATACTAATAATATTAAATAGATACGATGTGATACGCTATTCAATATTCTGTAGGGTTAAAATAGACTTCTTGTCAATTAGAAAGTACAACTATTTTGTTGAAAAGTAAAAAAAATGAACCATAAGTGTCTTAAGAAGCAAAAGAAGTACGGAGTACTATTTTCTAGAACGACACTACAAGAAAAGTAAGATATAAAGACATAATTAAAGGACACATAATTTAGAAAGTGTCATTAAACAAATTGATGACACCCTTATGTTTTAATTAAGGATTCAAGTCCAAACATCCATATTTCCAAACACAATTTGATTATTCTTTCTTTCTTCGATAAAAACAGGGCAATGGAGAGTTGACGCCGCGGCTAAGGTTTAGAACCCAAGTAAAGCAATGACTATTCTCCTTGTATCATATCTCTCTTCTCATTTTGATTTTTCCAATTTTGACCACAATTTGAGGAAAAGATACAATGAATTATGAAATAAATTTGATATCAATTAGTTTTGAGACATCATAAATGTAAATAATATACTTATCTATAAATAGAGATATCAATTATTAAATTAAATACGGAGTAACTTGTAAATTACTCCCTACTTGGTAAAACACACTATCTAACTCGTTTCACTTCCCCTCCACCTATCTATATTGTCACTTTCAAGTGTTTTTTCTAATCTCCTAGACATGTCATTTATCATGCACTTCTGAGACTGAAATCCCCTCTATAAGATCTTGGAAAAGTTGGTATTTCTCGCCAAAGGATGAGATATTGAGATTTCTTGAAGAAAAACATAGAATTCAAGGAACAATAAACATGAATCCAGCTTGTTCTTGAGCCAGAGAATTGAAGTCCCATATATATACACAACCCAAGAAAGAAAGAAAGAACTTTCTGACCTGATTTTGACACCCCCAGGAGAGCAGCAATAGCGGGTGACATTGGCCTCCACCCAAGCAGAGGCAGCACCGGGGTCTTGGCTCATCTCCTGCAGCATCAGGTTGGGCAGTGCCAACATGACCTCAATGCCAGACCCCGCGAGGGCGTCCAGGATCTCGGCATCCGCCTCGAACAGCTTCACCTTGTCGAACCCGTTGTCCTTCAACGCCTTCACGACTCTGCGCGGTGGCAGCTGGTGCGACGACATCGTCCCCCAGTTCACCCCCACGCCTGACACCTCCCAAACCAGCAGCCCCAGTGTCAAGAAGACCCCAATCAAGAAACCCACTCTGCAGCCCATTCTGAATCAAGAAAAGTTGAAAAGTTTGAGTCTTTGGGATTTCTTTCTCTATTCTAATAATAATGCAGAGGATGAGTGGTTAGCTGTGGGAAGATGGGAGTGTGAGAGAACTTCATGGAGAAGGTGATGAGAAGAAAATGGGATCCCAAGAATCAGAAAACTAAAGGTGCCCAAAGATGCCTTTCTTAATTCAGGTATTCGGTTGTGTCACATTTAGTAGGACATGCAACTTTTGCACTTTATTGTTGTAGATTCAGTAAAGTTTGTTTCCCCAAATGGATGAAAAAAAAGAGAAATAAGAAAAGTAAAGTTGGTGCAATGAGTTGGTATCAGACTAGGAACTAACAGACTTTGTGGCCCGCAGGACCAATAACGGCACTCCCATTGAGCAATTCTCTAAGAAATCGAACTCGGTGATTAGTATTGTTACTTCTAATTAATGCACTTGTGAAAAATCAAACTCTGGCGTTTCTTCACTGACATTGCTTGTCTTACCAGTTGCGCAATGCCTAGGTATAGATCACATTTTATGTAAACATGTAGTGATGTTAGGTTGGGTTATACTTTCTGGTCTCAAATCTCAGTTGTCCTCTTTATTATTTAAGGTTTCGAATATTTTGTTTATTTATGTGTTTCCAATTTTCATTGATCGTTTCATTAGAAAAAGACATGTCACTATTTATTTTGTAAAATTTTTTATTCAATTTTTAAATATGTAAGTTGTACTTTTTTAAACCAATTTGTAAATAAAATTATTTTTTAAAAAATGAGAGTTTACACATTTGAAACATGATAACTAATTTGAGACGGAGAGAGAGTAATATTTTAAAGAGTACCATGCCAAATTAGTGAGCAATTTATTAAGAGGTGAACATGCATGTACTTTAGAGTGTCAATAATAAAAAAATTAGAGTACAAATATAATTTTATTATATGAAGGATTGATGCGTTTGTTTTAGTTGAAAACATTTGTAAAGGGAATAAAATTCTTAACCAGTTACAATAATTAAGAATTTAAAATTATGATAATAAAATTTCTAGTTAAAATATTTAAATTAGAAGAATAGAGAATAGAAGTGAAATTATTATTTATTCATTTTTTTGATTTTTTAATATTAATTACTCCGTATTTGAATACTTGCATGATATAAAAAATTTTAATTTTCTTGAAATTTTATATTCATCATAAAAATCAATTTACTGGTGTTGTCCCCAGATCTCGTAATGTAATCTTGTGCCCCCCAGAACTTGGGTTCTGGCTCTGCCACTGCATTATGATATGTTTCACATATAACACAACTTACACTCATAGCGGATACTTTACGTCTTACTGAGAATGTATACCATACACTTGGTTGTACGTAGAGCTATATATTTACACTCGGTGAATGCTTATTTTTGAATCAATAAAATGTTCATTTTGAATTAACAAAACGTTCATTTCGTACCGTAGTGTTCATTATGATGCCTGCTTAGCATTGTGTTCATTCTGAAACAATATAGTGTTCATTCTGAGAAACGTTTATTATGAAAAAACGTAGTGTTTATTTTAAAGTATGTATCTTGAAATATTTTTTTTTATTACAAGTTTGACATGAAATACCAAGAGGAAGGTATATATGATTGTAGCATATAATCTTCATGTTCCCAAATACAGAATTTGGGGATACCGTCAAAAAACAAAATTACTCAATACGGGTAACGTTTAGCGTTTTTAAAGTAATCTGTACCGTTAAATTTTATACAAAATGCTAACGCTAATGTTTAAAATTATTTCCAAATATGCCCAAAATGCTTGCTTTTAATCGGACTGCTTTCCAACGGAAGGTGTTGTGTTTTCATACTCACGCAGTCTCGCTTTTATCCATAATTAAGGACCACACCTTTCTTTTACGGACTACTTTTTAATTTCATTGTCAAAGCTTTTACCCAATACTTTTTTGCTTTTTGAATGCTTTAAGGTAGTGTTTGGCAACAATCATTTCATTTCAATTCATGCATTTCAATTTTAAAATTTGAAATCCTGAATTTCAAATAACAAGGGGAGGTGCATGGATTTTAAATTAAGCATTATTTTGAATGCAAAGAATTTGATTCAAATCCAAATTCAAAATGCTTAAGTTTCCCAAACATGGAATTTAAGTCAAATCCAAATTTAAAATCCAAATCCATGTTTCCAAACATACCATTTAGTAATTAAAATGACATGGAAAAGATTTTACTGAATCTATACTACTGTTTTTACATGGGATTGGGGATATTTACAGCCTTTGCAACAAAGCAAAAACAATCAAAACTGAACTGCTTGTCACTCTCAAAATGTTGGGTCAATGGTCAAACGGGTAGGTCACTAATTGAACTGCATTTACAGGAATTACAGGCAGCATGCTATAAAGCAAAAAGATTGAAATTTCGTAACATGCCTTTAGTTGTGGGACGAAGAAAATATATATACGAGTAAATTTTATTTTTAATAATGCATTAGTTTTTAGTTACTCCGTTATATAGTTATAGAAATCCATAACCTTATTTTCCGGTAGTAGAAATATTAGTTAATTGTATATGAAGAAAGAAATAAAACTACTTTGTCCCGCCAAAATCCTTGTAGTCCATTGGCACCAACGTGACTTTTTGAAATTAGAGGCCACGAGTTTAAAACTTCGTGGTAGCAATAACTTCCTGTGCTTCGCTTTCTATACGTTGAGAAAATTTACTGTAATAGAATTATTAATTCTAAAAATTTACTGTCCGAAAATGACGTTAACTTTTCTTCGTGGAATATCTCAAAATAATATTTACACCTTATAATTTTACATTCTAGGAACGTACCGAATATGTGCTTAAAAACAGTTTTCATACCTTTTTTTCACTTTTTAATACTCTTCATGATCAAATTTAAGCTAAGGGCCTGTTTGGTAATAACTTTAGCGATTAGCATTAGCGTTTTGAAAAGACCATTTACGGGCAGCGTTTAACGTTAGCGTTTTCAAAGTAATCTGTACTGTTAAATTTTTTTCCAAAACGCTAACGCTAGTATCTAAACCTATTCTTAAACATGCTCTAAGTGCACACTACCTGTAACATCATCTCCGCCCATTCGTAGAGTGGCCGACGAGAAGTGAGAGGGAGGAGGCGAAGTGTGAAATGAGAGCTCAGATGGGATGATTTACTTTCATCTTTTTAAGGAAGAACATTAAAATTTTAAATATATTTAGAAATGGTATATGTACACGTAAACGTATTCTCGTATTATATAAATCAAAATAAACCAAATAGTCAAAATCCATAAATGGTCTCTAATTATGTGTAGTTTTCCATACTTAGTCTGCAATTCTAAGACATTAGATAAATGCTCTTCAATTTTTGAAAATTATTGCATAACCGGTCCTTTAGAGACTATTTGTGAAAAAATATTTCGTCATATTTAACTTAAAGGACTGTTATGAAATAATTTTAAAAAATTGAAGATTATTTATATAATATTTTAGAATTAGAGACTAAATATGAAAAACTATCTATAATTAAAGACCATTTATAAAATTTAATCTCATCCTACAAAACATCTTACAATATACTCCGTAATTGATATTGTAAATAATTAAAATAAAAAAAGACAATTGATTTGAAATCATGCATGCATGCCAATTCCTAAAACGAGTTCAGGGTGAATAGCAGCAACAGCGGCCCATGGCGGCGGAGTCCGACGGAGGAATGCACTCCCCGACGGTCCAGCCACGTGGCAAGCACGTGTTTTGGCACTGAGTGGTTGAAATCTGGTTCATCGGATCACAAACCACCTCGGTACAATGTTTGACCCCGTCCCAAGCGGGGGGTTCGGTGCCGATAACGTCCCTTGTAGCGGACGCGATCGTGGTCGTCAAAACCAGAATAACGGCCATGAATTCCATTATCTTCTTCATGTTTTTCTCCATATTTTTCTCTTCTTCTTCTTTTTTTTCTTCTTCTTTTTTGAAATTTTACAACTTAAGAACAGTTTTTATAACTGATAAGTGATGAGTATGGTTACGTTGAAAGGAAGGAATTAAATGAAAGGAAAGAAATTCAAATTTAGGCATTTAGGTATCCTCTTTACCTCTTATATTTTGCCATATAAACTTCAATTTTTGTTTCAAGTTTTAATCCAAATTATTACTCCTTCCCTTCAAAATCTTTTATACTCCGTATATAAATTTGAGAGTTCAATCTTTAAAAACTTGACATGTAGCATTTCAAAAACTTGGCATGTGACGTACTTGACATGTGGCATATTTAAGTAAAAATTCAACCAAAGTTACACTCTTCAATTATGAGCTAATAGCATGGGTGCCCCCGGTGGGTTACAAAAAAGACGTCAAAACCTCCTCTATTTTTAAAATTAATTTGTAAATTCCATATGGTTTGTAAATAGAGTACTGCCCTTACATATTTTTAGAGTTAAAAAGATATTTATGCCCCTTCTTTTCCTCTATCTTAAATTTACACTTTTTATTTTCCTTAATTATACAATAAATATTATAAATACACGCTCTCCATTTTAAATTAAAAATTTTCATTTATTTAGCATAAAATGTCAAAACATCTCCTGTAGGCAGCTCAATGTTTTGTCGCATGAATCCGTGTTCGAAGCTTCGCACCGTTCACGTTTTTGTCATTTTTCTCTCTTTCGTGGGCCGATTTTAAAAAAGAACATAAGCCATGTCCGCCATTCATATGGCCAACGTGCAACTGTGGCACAATGGTCAAAGCTATAGATCCATATCTTGTAATTCATGGTTCAAATCCCAACTTCTATTTTTCATTTTTAAATTTATTTCTTTCTTTTCTTCAAATCTCTTCCATTTATTTTGGGCCCAAACTTCCATATTTATTTTCCGTTCTCGCAAATTCGCAATTATTCTTAATGCGTCCAAATGACCTTAAAATACCTGCAAAACATAAACAACCAAGCATAGGACCGCTCTACCATAACACACAGAAAATTGAAATAAAATATAAACATTAAATTCAATTTGGGACTCAAAACTCATTCAAAATATGTCTAAAAAGTGTATAAAATATGTGCATATCAGCGGCGCTGCCCCCTGCCGCAGCGGCATCCTCTAGAACCACCACCACGATTATCTTTGTACCCTGGGTTTAAGACACGTGGGTGATCTCCCCCTAATTCGGGATATCTAACAAGCTGGAAACAACCACTCTTGTCGTGTCTGCTTAGCCCATAGTGTTTGCATTTCAATTCCTTATTTGCTTCACGATCATATTTAGAGGTGACGACAAAACTTACGGTATTTCATTCTTCTTCGTGTGTGATCTTTAGGACTCCTTGCTCGATGATGATTGATTACACACGATTCAACGGTGCCAGGGGCTCACTACCTATGATGTTGGATCTCAGACTTCCATATACTTGTTATCCAATCACAATAGGAATTGATAAAGTTTTTCTTTATCTCGTTATATGGAGAGAGCCTTGCTTATGCCACACTTGCATCCATGACACTTGCACGTAGGAAAACTTTTCATGATCGCCGAGTTCATCCTATATCACTTTTGGTTTTCCAAAGTATATAACAATGGACTGCTCGTTTTGCTTACGATTTACAAGTTCTTTCTTTAGATGATGGATACGAAGACTGTTTGTGAAAGAAAAATAGTCCTTTATATCTGTCAGAAGTTCTGCAGCCTCTTCAACTGCGTGATGGAATTTCTCAAGCTTCCATCAATGGTATTGTAAAGCCATGTGACCAACATTGATGGGTGTATTCTCACCCGGAACTAGGGGTGAGCAAGTACCGAACCGATGCCGAAATTTCCCGAAAAATCCGAGAATAACGAACCAAAAAATACCGAACCGAGAAAATACCGAGAAGGAACCGAACCATACCGAACCAAATGATCGGTACGGTATTTGGGAATGGTATGAGGGGACTTCCCATACCGAAAATCCCGAACCGAACATATATACTAAAATATTATAAAAAATAATATCCGGAGTAATATTTTTATATTCCTTCACTAAATAATACTCTGGTAATTTTAAAAAAAATTAGTTCAAGTTCTATTATGTGTAAATTATACAATTACTAGTATTCCTACCCGTGCAATGCACGGGTTCGGACGAATATCTTGTCAATTCTGAATTTATTCAATGCAATATTTTTTCTCGGAATAAAGGAAATATACCTCATGCATGATTTATAATAACACGGAAAAGTAAGGCAAAGTAAAAAGAATAATATTTGAGGAATTTAATCTACAGACAACAAAGTTTGCTTTAATACCAAATTTTTTAAAAGATTTCAGGGTATACAACATTTTTTGTATGGCTGCAAGGATTTCCATTATCATCTAAGACTAATATTTTTAATCTTGTCTTTGTCTTCACTCGCAAAACAACAACATAAAGCTGACCGTGAGTGAACACTGACTTGGTTAAAAATAATCCAACAAATGACAATGTTTGACCTTGACTTTTGTTAATAGTCATAGCAAAATATAAGACTACTGGAAATTGTCTTCTCTAGAAATTTAGAGGTAGTCCTGGATCAGACGGTACCAAATTCATCCGGGGTATGTAAACTTTTTCGCCCACTCGATTTCCCAAAACCACAATAGCACCAATAACAGTCTTTCACATCTCGTCAACAATTAATATTGTACCATTACACAATTCAGATGTTTGGTCAATGTTTCTCAGTAACATAATTGGTACCCCTTTTTTTAAAACTGTCCTGTAGTTTGGGATTCCCAAACATTTGATTTCATTCAAAAACTCAACTGTTATCCAGTCGCCATCAACACCTACATTTGAATCTGCTTGGCATGATAAATCAGAACTCAAGTACACCATTTCATCTCCGGGAATGAGGGATACAAATTCATTTGAAGATGAATATCGCAGGGAGGTGCAATCGAAGGAAAGTGCCGCTGATGTTTCGCTTCATTCAGACTTGCGGATGAATTCCACACAGAGTAGCCCAAATAAAAGAAGCCCAAAGTAATGAATCATTATCCAACCCGTTTGAAATATTAAGTAAGTCCAATATGATGACATGGCTTATGAAGTGTCAAAAAAAATCCTCGTCAGCATGACAAATGTCAAAATTTTGTGAGTTAAACTCCCAAATATAATATATAAAGGATAAAGGATTTGAGTTTTAACTTTTGTGTATGAACATAAAAGTATTCACAAAGATTTGAAATACTCCTTTATTGTCGTTCATTTTTTTAGTTTGTGAAATATAAACTAAGTCTTGATACGCATCTCTTGCATTTAAATATTCATTTTGTTTAGTTGTTCATGTTTTTTTTTATGTAAATTCACTTTTTAATTTTCAAAAGTAATGGGGCATTGTTAAATTTTAAAGTGCAAAGTAGTTATGTATATTGATCCCGATTTGTACCGAAACCGATACCAAGCCTCCCGAACCATACCGAAATGATATTTCGGAATTTGGATCGGTACGGGGTAAAATCTCATACCGAACCGAAATATTTGGTACGGTATCGGTACGAGCTAAATACCGTACCATGCTCACCCCTACCCGGAACACATATCGGGCCCATTGCAAAGTTTACCCAGGTGAATCATAACCATTCTAGAAGTCTGCCAGAAAAAAAATTATGAATTCGACCAGGTGGGGTCTAACCACCTGGTAAAACATGGTTACTTCATCAATTATCAGTCCAATTCAGGCAAACGTAAAACTCATGAACCACCCGGGTGATTTTTTGTGAAAGATCACCCGAGTAACCTATCAGGGATCGCCCAAAATCTTCAGGTCAGCGTGTTTTAGAAGGTAGCATTTGGAGAGGATCAGATCCTTTGCACCGACTAGCGTGTCAAAATGTTACAAGACAAAGCACAGTGAAATATTAACCAAGGAAGAAGACAAAACAATACAA